TAAAAATAATAATAAATATGTAAATATCTTTATTAAATAATGACCAACTTTTAAATTTGGATATACAAAGTTGAATTATATTTGCAACGAGCAAATCCCACGGTTTGTACTCACAAGTAAGAAAAATATATTTTTCAAAATTCATTTTGCTGTGTTTTTGTCCACATAACCAACGATAGAGCGTGCCCTTTCCAAAGTTATCAAATCCTATATTTCTTTGCGAAATTGGTTTATCTGTCAATATAGCTCTCAACACAACGATTTGCAACACTTTTTTCCTTCTTGCTTTGGCCTTTCCATTCACAACATTTTATACACGGAGGTAATTACACGACTGTTGCTATTCCATTTTTTTTCCATTCTCCTCCACTTCTGATCTGGGTTTAGAAAAAAAAACTGTTTTAACTACATGTACCGCTTTCGACATCCACTCCATCCCTCCATGGAGGCTAATTTGGCGGTTTCGTCCGAACTCAGCGAAGGTCACGTCTCTTTGGATGATCCGCGGCGGAGGGGAATTTATCATGCGGTGGATCTATCCCCCGTCCCTGCTATCCAACGAAGATCTTCTTCAGGGGAGGAGGTCCACAACAGCGGCATCCCACACGCGCCTTCACTCCCGGAGGATCTCCCTGTGAAGAGCCCTGAAGATCGATGGGAGGAGGCTGAAGCGCGGGGGAATGACTTGCAAGGCGAAAGCGCCTTAGCCCTACGAAGGAATCCTCCTGGGGCCACTGGTAGGATTTCTTTTCACCCACGCCAAGTTGCTTTCAATACGATTTATCCTTCATCGTTCGCACAAGGCGTGGGGTCGAACAACCAACCTCAAAAGAGGCCGAGATTTGATCACTATGGCGATGTTGGACGAACTGATGGGTATAATTGGAGGAAACTTTCACCATCTTATGATCGACGTCTGGGGGGCGCTGCATGGGGAGGTCAATATGACGAAAACGACGTGCAAACTGCTGGATTAGGTGAGGAGGAGGAGGAGCCAGATCTCATTTTTTCTTCCCAAGACGAGCAGGACCCATCTGATACGCGGCAGCAACAAGGTTCCTTTTACTCCTTTAAGCCACCTCATACCACCAGTATGCTGGGTGGAGGGTTGGCAAGGGGGAGACCCCACAAAACCTCTGGACATCTTCCATTTTTTTCTCAGGCCTTTTCACTTTCAAATTCTCTGTCAAACTTTGAAGCTTCGTATGGTGGTCAAACCAGATCTGGGGAGACCCTTCTAACACGACCAGTTTCTTCAGCTGTGCCTTCCGTGCCACGGCGTAGTTTGGAAAGGCAGTCTTTTTACTCGTTTGATCGAGCGCGTGGTTTTAACGGACCTAATTTACTCTACAAAAAACGAGAGCCAATAAATAATCGTCTTTTCGCCACTCAACAACGGCCTCCACTGCTTGTGATGCCGAATGCAACCTCCTCCTCGTGGAGGAATAGCACCCTTGGCATCTTGGTCAAAAGATGCGTATTTACCACTCCTTTACCACGCGGACGATGGGTTTATTCCCATTGCTGCTCCCTCAACACTCTCCCACATCAGGACTTGGTTAATAGTTCACCCAATAAAAAGGCATTAAAAGCGATAGCGCCGTCAAAAGAAGTGGAGTTGTCGTGTTCTGCTTGTATTTCCTGCGCGTTGATATGTTCTCTCTGCAGGATTGCTGAAGCAGCTCCCAACAGTACATACGCCGTTAATCCTTGTACGTTGGAAAAAGGTCCCAATAATATAAATAAAGATGACAATGAAACCGATATTGCAGTTAGTTTATTCACATATTATGCCCATAATAGCTATAGATATTTGCTTCTCCAAAGAGATTCTGCCAACGATGTGCTTGAGAATGAAATCAAACGAGAACAATGAAGAACCGACATAAAAAAAAGGAAAAGGATAGGCTGGCTATATTATTATTTTCACTTACTATATATTTATATATCTGCTATTTATTCTTATTACATTACATCCTATACGACTGTATAATAATAATAATGATTCAAAAGCAATGTTCAATGAATAATGGACAAGGAGTTGGCTATACTGCATAAACCTTTGAAACCTGATTTATTAAACTTACTGAGAAATTTATTATCTAGGGCTTAGTCGCACACTATTACGAACTTTTCTCTTCATGGAAAAGATTCCTCACGCACTTTAAAGCTACAGTATAAGCATCGAAGCAATAATAAATAACAAAGATGAATTTTACCGTTGGCTATCTCCTCATACCGCGGCAAAGTCTGAAGAATTCAAACGAGCATCATTCGGGCGATCACCCAAATAACAATGTGGAACCTCAGATGAAACGCGTGCGCGTCGAGGCGAAGAATGACGATAGGAATACTCTATGTCCCAACCATATCAACCTTGTCGATTGTCCACCCTCTTCCTCTTCCCTTTCTTTGTCTCCGTTAACCTCGACAAACCGAAATGGCAATTTACCCCCTCCGCAACCCTCCACACCGGGTTTGACCTCGGATTCCATCGTAATCCCCACGTTAACGCTATCCTCACTGAAGACGGCGCTGCTTTCCTACCTGCACGCCGCCCTCTGCGGGTGTCTTCCCCTCCTTGCGCTCGAGCCCCTCGTTCGCCTTCGCGCCGAAGCCGACGCGGATCCCCAGAGGGGGCGCTATGACGTCTGGTCCTTTGACTTCGCCGGGGCCCAAGGGCCCGTGCGGGGCGCGGCTGACGCCGTGAGCCCGGCGGTGCGCGCATCCGCGCGTCGTGTCCCGCTCCCGCGTTGGG